CAAAGATTACTGCGAGTAGTATTTATCGGTTTTTTATATTTAACTAGATTTCACAAGGCTACGAAAACGTGAAGTCGCCGCGCTGCCATATTGGGGGTCCAAAATATTTGACTTGGACCTTACCGAATGAGGAGAAAGTATGTAAAATAGATCTATTTATAAAATGGAGAGGTTGAAAAGTTAATGAGTGTAAAAAAAAAATTAGAAACGAAATATATTTATTCATTAATTTATTTTCATTTCTTTATTAGACCTATACTGCTATAAAACAGATCTGCGTATAGAAAGAAAACACGTATGCTTGGTATTTATTCATTTATTTATTAACTAGTTTTTGTATAATAGAGAGATAAACTTGCATCTTTAATTCATAGAACATGTTTAGAAAGAATTAAATACACATATAACAACACATAAACTGTAACTAATCCGTACGACTTATTTTTTGGTGAATACTATAATTTTGATTCAATAATTATATCAATCTTATCTATGTTACAATAAATCAAACAAGTCAAGACTTTGGAGTAAACGCTATAAACAAATGTTTCCACTTTATCCTAATAAGTCATTTCATATTAGCTTCCTTAGATTTTAAATGAACGGGTCTAAAGTAAAACAGAAAGTCTATAAAATCTATACATAGTAAAGTAAGTGACTCAGTTTTATTGAGTGACTCATGGTTCGGGTTGGAATACTAAATGATTTTGCGTAGTGGCTTCTCTAAGACTAAAAATAGCACTTGGGAGTTTCATTAGATCTGTTATCTAAATTAACTTTGTGATATTTACAGAATATTTATTATTTACCTGCCAAAGTTATCCCTTGTGACCATGGTATCGATGGTCGTGTTGTCTACTCGAGCGTAAGTCTATGTCAGGCTAATAAATTCTAGATATCGGTTTGGTTGTAGAAATCTAAAGTCTATATCTAACTAGATCAACTACTTGTGACTTGTTTCTACTTGCTGATCATCACTGCTCGATTTATGCACTTGAAGGCAGCACGCGGATCATATGCGATAGGATCATATCACTTCCACATTAGTAAATTTTGAGATTCCTAATTAGATCACGAGTAAATTTCCTGTGGCTTCAAACAAATCCTACCTCCTCGATTGCTCAGCGGTAATCTTTAGGGCTTATGACGCTAAATATCGGGTTCGATACTCGCGGTAGATACGGTAGGTTACTTTGCGCTTAAACATAAACAAACAAATCTCACGTAAACCTCATATTTGGTAAAAGGATTGAACAATCCAGTTAAACATAGAAATCGATGGCAGTATTATATTCTCTGATAACAGATGAAAATGTTATGTGAAACAACATCTCAACTGGTGATATCCTAGAGGTGATATCTGTTCAACAAGACATCTGTACACCTGAATCGCTGTATAACAGAAGTTGATATCAAAGTTCCTCTTGCAAGTGTGCGAATATTTTAAAAGTTAGTCTTTTTTTTAACATCCGAAATTCTATGAAATATTTTATCCTATTAAAAGTTGTACGTGTTTAAGTGCGTCTTCATGTAATGTGTAACAATGCAAAGAAGAATGGATTAATAGCCGTTTGGAAGCACTACAATAGCTTTAAAATTTTATTTTAAGCAACTTAAAAAATATGATAACAAAACATTTAGTTGACTATTGCCTTAGGCCCGGTATGGCCAGGAGGTTAAGGCACTCGACTCGCAATCTGAGGGTCACGCGTTCGAATCCCTCTCACACCAAACATGCTCACCCTTTCGGCCGTAGGGCGTTATAATGTGACGGCCAATCCCAGTATTCGTT